TTTTTTTTTTTCATGCAATAATTCATTTAGATTCTTCACATTTGTTTGTATTTTCCTTTCAATCCTCTGTATATGGTTATTTTAGAATTAGTATTCCTCTATTTCATAATAAGTTGAAGTTTGGGATTTTTTTTTCTTAATAATAATAATAAGTAGAAATCTCATCATTCCTCTACTTCAGTGCACTTCTATTCAAAACCAGAAGCTGCAAATGAAGGAGATCGGATGAAAATTTGTATATGAAGCCATACATTATACAGAATTGGATTATATACTTAGCAGAGGAAGATTAGAAACCTATTATGTTATTGGAAGATTATCTAACTGGGTTGGGTGTAGTTCTTAGTTGGTCAAGGTCTCTTGGTCAAACGTCATTTAGACTGTGAAACTATTGCAACTTCTGCTGGGGACTTGTTTTCTATGCTTATACCCTAGTTGTGGAAAGCAGAAGCTCCCTGATGTAATATTTTCAACCAAAAGTCACCCTGCCCCTGACTTTGGATGGAATGACCAAATCATGTGCCCAAAGATGCAAACTTACCTGATTTGAAGTTGAAACTGGTGCAAAGGAAACTTTTCCTTTACAAATAAGGTTAGTACATTCTTTAAACTGATACTCCTAGTTGGTTTTTGAATGTTAAAGCATTACAAATCTTACCTCTTGACTTCCATTGAAAGAAGGAAAATGAAACAAGTATCTAAAATTTGGCACACCGTTAATGGTAATGTTGATGGATAACAAAGCACTCATCCTCAATTTCTAAGGTCTTGGATCGAGTGTTGTTGCTCAACATACCGTTGCTTTGGAAATTTGAGTTGTAGCCAGCTTTCAGTGGCACATCGAATCGGATCGGATCATATACTGCTCAACCACCAGCTTTTGTTTCAATGAATTGGGTAAGATAAGCATTACTTTGTAGTTTTATGTCGTCTATTCATTGCAAATATATAGACTACGCCTTTGTTTGGATTGGAGGTATCGGATGGAGAGGGAGGGGAAAGGATGGGGATGGATGATGAGGGAGGGGGAGTGAGGGGAGGTTGTCCCCTTCCTCCTATTTGGGTTTCCAAAGAGGCAGAAGGGGAGGGAGGTCGACGGACTTGGACTCCCTTCAACCACCCTCAACTTTGCAAATTTGCAATCCTCTCAATTTGGGGGGTTTGGGAGGGGTTGCAGGGCTGTTTAGATTAGATTAAAAATAATTACAAAATTGACTTTTTTATCTATTATCATAAATTGTCCTCTTCCTTCTTAAAGGGTAAATTTGTAAATTTAAAATTAATTTAAATCATTTCCTTCCTTTTATCTTAATTATCCAAACATAAAAAATACAATCCTTCCCTTCCCTTCCCCTTCCTCATTTTTATTTATCCAAACAAAATTAATACAAATCATTTCCTTCCATTTTCTTCCCTTCCCTTTCCTTCCCCTCCATTTCCTTCTATTTTCCTCCGTCCCCTTCCCTTCCCTTCCCTTTACTATTTTCTATCCAAACAGTACGTAAGAGTAGTCAGTAGTCAAACATCAATAACTATGGTCTTAAAACTTAAATCATCTATATCCAAGTTTAACAAGCATGGAAATTCCTTAGGGTTCCTGTTCTGCCCATTCATTTAAAATACATAGGCTAAGAGTAGTTAGAGTATGGTCTTAAAACATCTTTATCTAAGCTTAGCAATCATGGAAATTGGGGTTCTGCCCCTTCCAATTTCACTCATTTGTTTTTGCCTGTGTTGTGAATTTTGATGTTTGTCGAGCCAAAGTGCCCATTAGTATGAGCATTGAGTGCTGCAGTTGATGCAAAATTAGTCTCCTTGCATGTCT